ATACGGCAAGCAAAACTTCTTCTATATCAACAGACGATGTCGTAAAGTGTCGGTGAGATATTAGTGCATCTCCCGTCAAAGATGGTAAAGAGCGTTTTTCGGGCCCGCTCAAATATATGAAATGAACAAAATTCTTACAGCTTTAGTGTATATTAATAAATAATATTTTCTTGCCTTTAGCTGTGTATTTTTTCTAATTTCGAAAAATCGAATGTAGAGAAAAAAAAAAAAAAAAAAGAATTTTTGTTCATTTTATATATATATATATATATATATATATATATATATATATATATATATATATATATATATATATATATATATATATATATATATATATATATATATATATATATATATATATATTATATATATATATATATATATATATATATATATATATATATATATATATATATATATCTATTTCTAAGAATGAGAGAAATATTAAGTTTTTTATCTTTATATCTAAGTTTATAAATATCTATCTATATCTAGAAATTTAAGTTTTTTATCTTTATATCTAATCTTTATAAATATCTATCTATATCTAGCTATTGATTTTGTGTTGACCTATTTGCCTAATTATTTTTTAGCACAATTTAATATTCTATATTATTATTTATCTGCACAATTAAAGACTTTTGAAAATGTAAATTAACATTCTATATTAGTATTAGTAATTACAAGTGAAATCGATACAATAAACAAAGAACAAAACTAAAAAACGTATTTTTTGACAAATATAGTTTACTAAAAAAATCATCATGTTCAAACTGAGTACCTCCTTGTTGTACACACAATAAACATCTTTTGCGCACAGAGTTACAACGATTTATTAGGCGAACTGGTGTAATAAGTCCATAAGCTTGCCTAGTAGCCTTCTACAATTCTTCTCTCGTCCCAATGGTTCTTCCCTTATATATAATTTTTTTTTTAATTTCACTAATTCTTTTTTAATTCTCTCTAAATTCTCCATTTAATAATTCAGTTGTAATCCTGGCGTTTCAATTTTAATTGGTAGTACTAATATAGAATGTTGATTTACCTTTTCAAAAGTCTTTAATTATGCAGAAAAATAATAATATAGAATATTAAATTGTAATAAAAATAATTAGGCAACTAGGTCAACACCAAATCAAGGCCCGCTTCGTTATAAAGATAAAAAACCTAATATTTCTCTCATTCTTAGAAATAAATACACATAACTTTATATCCTTCGAACGGGTTAAACGCCAGCATTTTTTTAAATTCGTAGCCAACTATGATTCCCATTTAAAAAATTATATTTTTTATTATTTCTGACAAAAAGAGCAAGCATAGAAAAAAACTGACTACGCCACTGGATTGTGCTTAAAAAAGTGCCTTAAGAACGTTTTTACAGAATTTTATTATTCCACGAAATAAAAAAGTTATGGGTAATTTTCCAAATTGTAAAAAAATCAAAAAGACCCCGTATCTCAGTTGGCAGTGAAAATATCGACAGGTGGTTTACGCCATTAAACGTGTCTCAGAAATCGAACCCATGGCATCTATGTCGGTTTTGCTCTATCTAGTCAGGAAATAGGTTTTCTCTGTTAAAACAGACCAATTTCGACCACTCTGTACATTGCGTATAATTTATCTTAGATAGGAACTAGCGAAAACAGGAAATTGCCATCCTATCCGATAGTCAAGCAGCACTAAACGCAGCACTAAACGCAGCACTAAAAGAAAGTAGCACTAAAAGTTCAACACAGTAACCATCAATTCCAGGTTGGTCAAAGAATCTCTAGGCATTCTTTAACCAACCTGGAATTGATGGTTACTGTGTTGATCTTTTAGTGCTGCTTTTTTTTGCTCAACAAATTAGGCAAAGAAAATAAAGTCCTCCTACTCTGGGTGCCTGCTCACCAAGGGATAGAAGGCAACGAAAAAGCAAATGATCTAGCTAGAAAAGGAGCGAACACTCCACTAACTGGACCAGAACCGTTCTGTTGTCCAAACGGGAACCAACTGACAGCGGAACTGAAGAATCTGGAAAACTCCATCCGTAACTTGGGTGTCCTCCAATCTTCAACGGTCTAAGACACTCGAAAAAGTTCCTCAAAACTGACGACCGAGAGAAATCAAAGGTTTTCCTTGATTTAAGGAAAAACAATCTTAGAATTGTCACTCGGAACACACAATAGATCTGTATGTTTGCGGCGATTAACTCCCCTCCTAAACATTCTATATTCTACCCATATTGTAGTAGCCATTTAATGACAAATTAACAACGCCTTCAATTAACTTCCAACCAACATGTAGAGTAATTTCCGAAATGTTATTTTCGCAAGATGTGCTTTTAGTACAAATTAATTTTCCAAAGTGTCAAGGTTAAAGCCACTTATAACCTTCTGCTCGATTAAACTTAAATCGGAGCTTCTGCGGTGATTATAATTAGTGATGGCAACAAAATATCGATGGCATTTTGTATTTCATAGACAATATCGATATATTAGAATATTTTTTTGTTTTCACTCTTGGCTTTAGGTCGTTGGGGTTGCAAGGATGTTTCTAGATTTTGTTCATTATTTTTTTATTTTGTGACGACGTTTCGACAGTATATGTCTTTTTCAAGCCTCTTGAACGTAGATTCTTACAGAGTTAAAATTTGAAAAAGACATATACTGTCGAAACGTCGTCACAAAATAAAAAAATAATGAACAAAATCTAGAAACATCTTTGCAACCCCAACGACCTAAAGCCAAGAGTGAAAACAAAAAAATATATATTATACAGGTCAAAGAAACGAAACAAAAAATATATTAGAATATCGAGATCATATTTAATATGTGTGTTAATATATGTTTTTAGCCGACCATACCCACAGGTATGGTATGCTATTAAGATCGGCAAAAAATTTTTTTTTTAATTTCGCTCAAAATGAGTTATTTGGGTCATAAATGACCTAAATACAAAATATTTTCATGGTGTCTATCTGTCTGTCTGTCTGTCCGTCTGTCTGTCCGTCTGTCTGTCCGTCTGTAACACGATAACTCAAAAATCGCTAAACCGATTTTAACCAAATTTGGCACAAAAATACTATGGCACCAAAAATCTGGCCATTAGTTTTTGGTGGGGGTGAAGAGTTGGTAAGGAGGTATGGGAGGGGGTTAAAAATTTTAAATAATCGTAACTCCAAAATTACAGTAGCTAGCGAAACGCGATTTTCAATTTTAGATTAGGAATAATATCTGCAACAAAATTTGTAATAACATCAATATCAGTCAAAGTCGCAGTTTTTCAGATAAAAAAGATATCAATTATGGGAGCCAATTTTTTTTCTTTGGTAACCGATATAGTAGTATACAATTTTGTTTCTAATCTTTTAAAGTAATAAATTATTCCTTTATGTTCCTCAATAAAATTTAGGTTTTTATTTGTTGATTATAGACAAAATAAAAGATAGAGTCAACCGAGAAAATCAAACACCTTGAATACTTGAAGCGAAAAAGATGAAGAAGAATTTCCATATTTCCATCAAAACAGACGTCCAATAAAAACGAGAACAGTAAGACATAAATTTACTAAAAAAACAACCGAAAAAATGAAAACATCATTTGTAACTTTTGCAGCATCATTAACTACTAAATTAATAAACAAAAATAGTGGAGACTAAAAGGCTCAAGGTCCCGTACCAAATTTACCAATTGCCAACTTTCAACTACTTGTACTGCCAAAATACTATTTTACTTCCAAGCGACTGCCAATGACTGCAAAGGAGATTGTCTATGACTGCTATGTAATTATTATAGGCCGACTGCCATAAGACTACCATGCAATGACTGCCGGCGACTACTAATAAATTGTATAGGGTGTCCCATTTTATTTGAAATCATACGGTATCTCCGTTATTCGTGAAGATAGAAGGGTGCGATTTGCAAACCTGTGCCACTTTCTTGTCAAACCGAAGATGCTGCCAACAAAATTTTTATAGCCCTCTTCGTTTCTGAGCTACAGGGTCTTTTCGAAAATTTTGCAATTTGGGACACCCCCCGTATCTCTGTTATTGTTAAAGGTATCGAGAAGGTGAAAACTATTTATTGTAGAACTTTTTACGTAGAATATAGTGGCGTAGTCCGTTATTCTACGAAAAGAATATTTTAAAAGATATGAACTAAAGTTATGTTTTCTTAAATGGAACACACTGTATATTTATAAATTATATGATCTGGCTTGCCATAAGTTTCTCAAAAATATATATCGCTCTATATTTATTTTCACTATTTAATGCAATATTTAAAAAAATATATATTATAGATCAAATTTATTAGTAGGCCATGATTGATAATAAAAGAAACTAAAGAATTATTAAAAGTATACTGCTCTCTGTCTCTTGTTTTATTTTGAGAGCCACTAATAAATTCTTTATATACTAGGGAAACTTAACTATTTGTAAATCTTGGAAGCTATCGTATCGGGACTTTTAAATATTCCTTTAGCTAATTTACGTGAAATATACTTTCAGCAAGATGGGGCTCCCCCTCACAACTTAACTTACAACGAAAATATTATAATTTTGTTAAGGTTATATCACGGCGTACTAATAAGAAAATGATATATTTTAAATATTGCAGTAAATAGTGAAAATAAATATAGAGTAATATATATTTTTGAGAAGCTCATAGCAAGGCGGATCATATGATTTATAAAGATAGAAGGTGTTCTATTTGAAAAAATATAACTTTAGTTCATATCTTCAAAAATATTTTTTTCGTAGAAAAACAGACTACGTAACTGTATTCTGCGTAAAAAGTTCTACAAGAATCAGTTTTTACCTTCTCGATATCGTCCATAATAACGGAGATACGGGGGCTGTCCCAAATTGCAAAATTTTCATTTCGTTTACAACCTAGAAGCCAACCGTTTGATGTCGACGACACTCAATATTCAAGAAAAATTATTCAAACTAGCTTTATTATATCCTAATGCTGAATGTCTAGTTGAAACGCTTACAAGTTACAAGATAGAGAAATTAGTAAATTTTCAAAAACAGACTGATTTATCATTACAACAAATAAAATGTACCCTTTGTTGTATCGAAGATATGTTTGGAAATACTGGAGCACGATGCTCAAAAATGGAATGTTGTAAAGGGATGAATAATACTCTTACTGATTTATACAGACAAGATACGTACATTTTCTTATAATACTTAAAAACGTGTTTAGAATACACTAACAAAACTTATATATTTTAGGTATAAGTTAGTAGAAGATACAGAGGTGACTTTAACAAATTTACAGCAAGGATTGGACAAGATTTGAGGCCGAATTCAAAAAGTTCTGTAGCTAGTCCTGGTGTAAGACAATTTTACTTAGTGCTAATATGATCTATAATGCCACACATTAATATTTCTTGTTTCTAGACTAGGATATAACAAGTTGTTGTTACTTGGTTTGCGGAAGAAACTTAACTTAATACTGAATGAGTCAAAGACAAGCAAAACCAGGTAGAGTATTGGAAAAAATTTTGTTCACATTTGTATAAGTTAAAAGAAATAAAACCGTGGTTCTGCAGAGATGGTGGCTCAATGTTTTGATATATTCGATATGTGAATGATCGCAGGGAAGACAGGTTTGTGCAAATCGCATCTTTCTATCTTTACTAATAACGGAGATACCGTATGATTTCAACCAAAATAGGACACCCTGTACATGTAATTTCAATAGTGTTCCCCTCGCTTTAAAGTCACAAAAAGTATCGAAAGTATCTGTTTGTAGCACCGTCCCTAATTAAAGTTCGTGAAATAGTCGAAATACGTTTTTTAATCACCATTCCATCGAAGGTCACGTCTATTTTAATAGGGTTTCGTTGGAATACGGTTCTTAGCTCGTTGAGAAACGTTGGATGTTCTCACGATGTGAAGTAATCCTACCTTTTTTATGAATGCGAATTCTTTTCAGTTTTTTGCTCGAAAACGTTTGCTGAGATTTGATATACTTTGGAAGATACGACTTATTTGGGACAGGGTAAAATAAATGGTGTCGTTGCGATTGTTGTTTACTCTTTTGTTGTTAAATAGCGGTATTTGTGCTGGTAATTAAAGCAAGGTTAATCAGCATGGGGTCTATGAGCCTTTAAGTCTATTGTTCGTTAATTATGGTATACAAAATATAAAATGAAAATGGCTCGTTTGGGTATAAAGTTCCGACGAATTATATTTATAGATTATATCATTGTAAACTAGATTTTTGATTGAAAATGAGACATCTTACTACTTACTAGCCAAGAACAGTCTTAGCTTACGCGGACGATCTAGCCCTCTTAATAACGGCATCCACCTACACGATCCTCGAAGAAAAGATTCAGACAGCTGCGCTAGCGATTAAAAATAAGTTGGAAAGCATGACAATGTCAAACTGGCCCCCGAATAAACTGAGCTGGTCATTCCCGCTGGACAACGCAAGGCAAAAGATCTAAGCATAAAGCTGGATAATTTAGTTATAAAACCTCAAAAGAAGGTTAAATACATGGGGGTTTGGTTCGACTCGGGCATGCGAATGACTTCACATGTCACAGAAATCAGGGATAAAACGACTGGCATCATGCTGGATGATGACGAGAATAACTCCCAATATCGGAGGACCTTGCGCGGAAAAAAGAAGACTTCTCGCTTCGGTAGTTTATTCGACCATACTCTACGCATCGCCGATCTGGGACAGATCCATGCGCTTCAAGCATTACGAAAACATGCTAGAAAGGATAAATAGGAAGTTAGCACTCAGGGTTGCATCGGCATACTGCACATGACCAACAGTAGCAGTACTGTGTCTTGCTAAGATACCTCCAGTCAGTCTACTGATCCAGGAAAGAAATCAAATATATAAAAATGGAACTTCCTTCCGGAAAGAGGCCAGAAACATGGTACTAGAACAATGGCAGGCACGATGGGAAGCATATAGCGGATGGACAAAGACATTCATACCCAATATTAAAGATTGGATAAAATGCGACCAAGCAAACACGGACTACTACATCACGCAAGCCATGACTGGCCATGGAGTATTTGGCGAGTATCTGCACAGGATCCGCAAGGCGGACTCTCCTAAATGCTGGTATTGCGAGGTGTCAGACTCGGCTATATAACTGGTCCAACCAATGGAACACCCTGTATAAATTTTTAAAAAATCTTAAAATATGTACAACAAAATGTACAACAAAATAAAATATACGTGTTTAAGAGTTTTTCCGAAAAACTCACCGGTTTTTAAATAAAAAATATTCTAATATTTGAGGGGTGGTTTCACCCCCTTAGGATTCGAGTTTCGAAAAATCCCTTCTTATTGAACCTCTACACATTAAAGTCAATCCGTTTTCCAAAAATCAGCTTTTGACGTCAAGCGCTTTAAGCAGGATCGTGATTAATCAATGACCAGATTTTTCGAAACACCCTGTATACATTTTTAAAAAATCTTAAAATATGTAAAAAACCAAAATAAAATATACGTGTTTAAGCGTTTTTTCGGAAAATTGTAATATTTGAGGGGTGGTTTCACCCTCTTGGAACTGGAATTTCGAAAACCCCTTCTCATCGAACCTCTACACCCTAGAATCAACCTGTATGCCAAAATTGAGTTTCTTACGTTGAGTGGTTTGAGCAGGATCGTGATTAATCAGTATGTCAGTCACTTAAGGATTTTATATATTAGTATAGATCAACCTATACAGGGTGTCCCAGAAATAAGTGCAAATATTTTAATTGGTAGTATAGTTCAACCCCAGAAACACGCCTATGATTTTTTTTCGCGAAAAAGAAAATTGAAAATTCGAAATTTTTTGAAAAAATGTTTGGATTTTTTTTAGTTAAAAAACATAATTTCTTGATAATATGGCAACATAAGTATTAGATTAAATTTATAAGAAAGAAAATCCAGAAAAGATCCAGAGTGGTTCTCAAAATTTTAGCAAAAAATCATTTTTTTTTGAAAATTTTCAAATTAAAATAACTCCGTTATTTTGGACTTATATAAAAAACGATACAGAGAAAATATGTTTCTTTTATCGAGATCTACCACCCCCTAAAATACTTGCACTTATTTCTGGGACACCCTGTATAGTATCCCATCTACCGCAGTATCTTATAAGCTTCAGGACATTTCTTAAAATCATAATGTCACTCAGTTTTTTCAAGCCCAGTCCGACCCTGGTTGTGCTTATTTTACTACTAATAATTTTAATAACTTAATTCAGAGCATATGTATTATGTTACATAGCAAGATTGCTTCCTGATATCCTTTTATTATAAACTCATTAAATATACCATTTACTATGCCTTTTGGTTAATTCTCAATTACATATTAGTATTTCCTGTAAATTTAATTGTTATAGGTAAAGTAACTACGCTGTATGCTTTAAACATACACACATGGCCAAAATTATTGCATAGGTATATCTTTTAAAAATATACTGAAAGGAATTTAAAGAATCTTTTTTTATACATAGCTTTGATAATAATCTGTAATAAACATTTTTTTTATTAAAATGAATATGGTAAACAATGTTTATCGTTCAGACCCAATATTATTACAAATTCATGCACATTTCGATTTGTGGTCTCTAGGGTTTCAGAAGAAATTTGACCATTCTTTTGGCCTTAAAATATCTAGAAACATTATTTCACAGTTTAATAGAGTCAGAATAGTAACACTGTCTCAACAGGGCTACCGACAAGTTGAAATAGCTGAAATTGTAGGAATTGTTAACCAAAGCAATGTTTCGCAAATATTAAAAAAAATCAGGGAGACAAACAAGGTTACAGACCGGCCTGGACAAGGTAGAAAGAGAGTTACTACTGCTGTGCAAGACCGTCAAATATCCCTAATTGCACGACGCTATCCCCTGCTTTCTAGTACTGCTAAGAAAAATGAGTTAGCTCGCCTTGAAGGAGTAAATGTTTCAAGAAAGGCCATAGCAAGAAAACTCCATGACAGAGGATCACATTTAAGGAGACCTCTACGTGTTTCGAAGCTTAATTTACAGCACAAAATTACGCGACTACAATGGGCTGAGATGAGAGCAAATGGACCTAATTGGTATTTCGTCATGTTTAGCGATGAAACAAGAATAGGCCTAGTGTCAGACTCACAACGAACTTTGGTCTGGAGAGCATCTGGAAGACGAGCAAGCTTGAATGCAGCTCAACCCCGTGTCCCGTTTCAAGGAGGAAGCATTATGGTATGGGCAGGTATAATGCACGGAGCTCGAACTTCTCTTGTTTTTATTGATGGCACAATGACAGGTGCCTCATATCTTAGAGACGTTTTAGAACCTATTGTGCCTCGCTTTCGAGAGGCAGTGGGGGATGAATATTTGTTTACATGGACGATAATGCTCCTCCCCATCGCACTTTAGCGGTTCGCAAATTTTGTAAAGAAGAGAGTATAAGAAAACTTTAGCGGCCACCGATGTCTTCACATATGAATGTGATCGAGCATGCTTGGGACGTGCTAAAACGCCATATTGCCAAAATGAATGATCTCCCTCGTACCTCAAATGAATTGAAAATTGCTGCGCGCGAAACATGGGAAACTATTCCTCAACATCTTCTGGACAACTTAATTGAGAGCATGCCACGTCGTCTCATAGCTTGCATTGAAGGTCGAGGGGGTAATACAGACTATTAGTTGTGAGAAATAATTAAAATTGTTTTCAATATTTTCTGTTTAAAATGAAATTTTTTTTTGTTGATTTTCACTCATTATGAAATAAAATTATAATAACAGCCTAGTTGCGCTTAGATTTTTAATTTTATATTAGTTAGCCGTGTAGTAAGCCAATATGTCCAAAAATATAAAAAGACTCATATTAGGTTCGAAATAAAATAAAAATATCGTTATATGCAATAATTTTGGCCATGTGTGTATGTACATAATTTACCAGCACTCTTCATTCGCTTCTTCATAGACAACAAGCGTAATGGAATCGAGATACTGCATAGAGAAAAAACAAATCAATGGGAAAATTGCATCTTCCTGGTTAACAATCAATGCGATGTTCAAAGGTCGCACCGAAGAAAGCTGCGATCGAACACGATTTGTGTCTTTTAGTTCAAAAGGTCGTCATGCTCCTATTCTAACAAAGTCCAATTTATCTGATACGATAGAGATACGGAATATTTACGATAGTTTTATTACAGTATGGTACTAAAAAGTATGGAACGAATGTTTCTATTATTTTATAATGTCTAAATGTCATCTAGCTCTGATCGAGACACAGGTTGTCTTTTTGCATTTACCGTGTAAGAATACATAGACATAGATAAAATGATTTAGAAAATTAAAATATACTGAGTGACAAAAAAGGAGAACCTATACAGGGTGCTACAAATTCAGGGTACGAGCATACGGAGCATATTGGTGTCCCGGAATCCGTAAGAGATACGAAGATTGTTAAATTGCGGAAACGTTGCGCCTTGGGATGTTCACAAAGATGCCATTAAAAAAGGTTTAAAATTTTCAAAGAATGCTGTGTTTTTTGGTTTCGGATTTTTTCGAAAATCAATCTTATTTTTTCCTGTCGTTACTTTTTAGAAAATCAAAAAACTAATTGCACATCCTCTTAGCCAATTTATTAGGGCTATCTGTTAGTATTTTTATATTTTCAAATTAGCTGATAATTTGTGTGATACAGAGGCCAACTTATTTTTTTAAATACGGACCTGCATTTTTTATTTCTGGTTTTGAAAGAATTCGGTCTCCTGAGTACAATGATATGCAACACTTTATACTTTTTTTTGTTTTGGATACCTTAACAACAACAAAACTATTTAATTATTATTTAAAATAATTTCAAGTCCGACTCTGGTTTTTTAAATTATTTAATCTGGTTATATATTCATCGCAACAATATTGATCAGCAAATAAAGATAATAATTTAAAATTAGGAAAATCGAGCCAATTGAAAGATTCAAATAAATTATATCCAAGTCAGCAATTTAAATATATTATATTTAACTTGTTTTATTGTAAATTTAAAAGGCTGTACTTAAACTGCCGTTAAACGGTAGCTTACAAAAAGGCCGTTAATAGGTATGACGTCGTTCATGTGACGCACTTGACGGCTTTATGAAATATAGGAATTATATACGGACTAACCAAAGCTATCCACCCCACCAAATAACCAACTTAACCAACGCAACTAACCTCGACACTGATAAAAAAATTTAAAAAACAAATATAAATTAGTAAAAACCAACCAACCCCACCAAATAACCAACTAACCAATGAATTAACACCCTCCAAGTAACCATGCTAACCAACCCGCCGAATAACTAAACCAATCCAACCAAAAAGAGTGAAACCAATGCAATAAGATGACGCTATAAGCAAAAAAAAATATAAAAAAGTGTTGGTCAGCGTGAGATTTGAACCCCGGACCATTCGCTCACTAACCGATAGCCTCAGCCACGGAGCCGCAGGTGCTCTTGCAATATGCTTATAGCCAGGCATTACTTCCCGCCGACATGAACGACGTCACAATATCTATTAACGGCATTTTAGTAGGCGACCGTTTAACGGCTGTTTAAGATCCATTTTAAAATCTCAGTGTATCAGGAATAATATGCATAACATTAACCGCAGTTGTTATAAATAAATCAACTTCTACAAACTATAGTTTCTAATGCTCTACAAGTTCGAAAGGGTTGCCACTTTATTACCACTCTCCCTATTGCACAAATTTATTTTTCGTTCAATTTTATTTATAACTCTTTGAACAGATCTTCCTATACTTCCGAATGCATTTTGTACTCTTTATTGTAAATATTGAGATGTATTGATTTTAATTTTACAGATGACGTCAAGTAATGCCCCTCCTGTTTGTCGAATTTAAAACACCGTTTGCAGACTTTAGCAGCCCTTTGACATAAAGTTGAAGCAGCCTGGACTGGGAAATCTCAAGAAGACATCGACCACCTTGTCAGAACTATGCCCAGGCGGTATAATGAGTGTGTTAGAAATCGGAAGGTCAGCCATTGACGTAAATAAAGGGTATAACAGAAGGTAGGTATAATAAAATAATAAACACTTCATTTACTGCTGGGCACCCCCAGCGAAATTTTCAATGACTCTTGGCTAAATATTAATTTTTATTTGCTTGTGATGTTGTAAAATTGACGTTTCTCTAATTTTGTTTAGTTAATATTAACATATTTCGTTTTGTTCAAAAATTTGTTTTGTTCAAAAAAGTTTTTATTTTTTTAGAAAATTTGTAGGTATTTCAGTAATCCACAGTAACACGGTTTCATAACCAAATCTATGAAATTTATGTTTATTTTATAATATTATATTATGCTTTATTTGTTAAAAAAAGAAAAACCCTAGCCCCCCCCCCCTGAGCTAAAGCTTGCAAAATATTTCAAAAGAGCTATTAAATCATTTGCTGTATTTACATCAGGCGTAAATTAAATGTGAACAAAGTGTAGGTAAAATCTGGTAAAATACGAAGTAGGCAGGCTAGATATAAATAGGCTGTGGTGGAATAATTATGGAAAACCTCAGTGGGTGACAAAAATACAGCATTATACAGCATTAAAAAAATAATCTTTAGGTACTCTCTATATCTATATGAAAATACAAGTTTTTAAAAGGTAGGCAAAAACTGCTGACGTATTTTGTAAAAGAAAGATTTAGAGCTACTTTTGAGATATCTTCTGACATATTTATGTATTCTCTCTAGGTATACCTATTTCTTTAGATTTTTTAAAATTATTGCTGTTTAAACTTCGGCAACCAAATATACACTAACTTTTAAATCTCATGGTCAAATGTCAAATGCCAAATGAAATGAGGTTATGAAGATTTGTTGTGTAGCGGTTTTAAGTTGAATTTTATTTAATTTATTTAAAAATATAGAATTAATATGAATAAAGTTTTCGTTCGAGCGTTGAATAACTTATGTAGACAGGAACTGTCCAAGTCCCTTACTCAAGCAACAAGGTACGCTAGCACTTTTAAAGCTGCTGTAATTAAAGAACAAGCACAACCTTTGGAAATTGTGGAAAAAACCCAAAGGAAGTTAAAACCTACTGAAGTTCGCGTAGAAGTAAATTATTGCAGTGTAAACTCCGTAGACTGTTACAAGTTTAGAAAAGGTGGAGGCGAATTGCCTTTTGTACCAGGCTATGAACTATCTGGTGAAGTGCTAGAAGTTGGTAAGGATGTAAAAGCAGATCAGATTAATGTGGGAGAAAAAGTAGTAGGGCTTAATTTGGAATCTTTTGGAGGTCTTGCACAACAATGCATAGTGAGTTTTTCAAAAATATTAATAAAAGTAATATTCAAACTTAGTTCGTAGCTTGACATAGATGATGTATTTAGAATACCATCCGAAGTATCCAGAAAAGATGCTGCTGTTATTGCCTACGGTCACTCAACAGCACTATACACTTTTTCCAAACTAACAAACATAAAAGAAAAATCTAAAGTTGTAATTTCCACTGGTCCTGCTGGTATGGGTTTAGCTGCTGTTGATGTAGCCGCTAACATTTACAAAGCTGAGGTATTTTTCTAAAATTCTATATATTTTGTTTTTATTTTTTTTATGTATTTTTAGGTAATTGGAGTTGTAGATACAGAAGAAAGGGGTGAACTTGTTAGAGAGAGAGGAGCATTTACTACAGTGCATTTCTCACCAAAGATGACAAAAGAAATTTTAAAGAAAACTGATAATAAAGGAGCTCCTACAGTTTACGATGCTGCTGGTGAAGATATGATGCAAATTATTGGAAATTGGTAAGCAAATTAATTAATTTTTAAAGCAGTATTTTCAATTAAAATTGATTAAATATTATATTATTCGGTTAAATTTAATTAATCACTTATTGAAGATTTAACACATGCGGATGCAAAAAACTCAATGGAAAAATTTTTGGACAAGTTTAAAATGTTATATTTTTTATTTTTGATCCTATTTTCTTGATTTTTGTACGTTTAGTACCTGGTAATATTAGTATCTGGTACTCTTTAAAAATTTGTTACATCTTTAAAAATAATCTAAAATGTCAATATTCCATGGGTAGTATTGATAAATGGGGTCTAAATTATAAGAAAATGCATTTTCTATAAAAACTTGAGGAGATAGGTAAAAAATTGTATAAAACAATTTAATAGACATTATATTGTGCATCTAATTCTTATAAAATATAGAGGGTGTTCCATTTAAATTAAGCAATTTCTTGCCGTTTAAAGCTACTACATACTGCCATTACTCGCTGACGAGTAGTCGACATGCATCAGAAGATGGTCAAGCGTTTCTTTCATGAGCTTTTCGGTGACTGAAAAGCCCGATACGTGATGGTATCTGCCTACCGCACTCCAGACATTCAAAAATCTCATTGCTTTGTTGCCACTTCCGTTAGTTATTCTATGGTTGCCACTTTACTTTTTGATTGTCGCTGTTAACTGAGTTTACAATTCTTCTCCATTTAGTTCTATTGTGAGCTGCCTCTTCCCACTCATTCTGAATGTTAGGTTGCATATAAATGCTCATAAAATTTTATTTCAATACACACTGTCGTTCTCCTTGGAGCTTCCGCGGCGTATGAGAGGCGCCACCCTGTACAGGGTCATTTAAAAAAATACAACTTTGAGATTTTTTATTTATTTGGGACACTCTGGATCTTGTAAAAATATTTTTAAATTGTAGCTCTAATAGTCCTTCAACGAACCCAATACTTACAATTTGTAAAAGTCTAATTGTTTAGCTACAATACTCCGTGTCGTATGTGGTGAACAACCCTGTATACAGTTTGCTACAAAAATCATGAAAAGAGGGCTAGAAGTAAAAGTTAAAAATATATATAAGACTTTAAACTTGACGAAAAAAAATTCCGTTGCGTTTTATATTTGCATCTGAGCGAGGGGGAAACCGCTGGGGAAGTTGGTGTACAAAAAGGGGGGAAGTATGCGAGGAAGTACGGGAAGTATGCAAGAAGTAGCGGAAGTATAGAGGAAGTTTAGGAAGTATTGAGGAAGTACGGGGAAGTACGAGAAAATATCGGGGAAGTATTGAGGAAGTATGAAGGAAGTCCGGTAGAGTTCAAGATTGCCTTATATAGAATATAGTTGATCATAGAATCTGATCCCTAGTTGAGCTACTTGAGCTTAGAACTGGTTTAAGTTGGTATTTAAATAAAATTAACATTTTTTTGTCTACGGTTTTCGAATATTTTTTACAACTGGCAACATTGTGGTTACGACTATACTAGGCAGCAATTTTCTCGCGTTTGTCTTCGAGTTTTGTTTTAAAAGTGAGTATTTTAGGAATCTCACAAAGCGCCAACTTATTGTTTGTTAGTATATTGTATGGATAATACTTTTACATACAGAGATGTTTTACAAAGACGGAAATATTTAGAGCAGGAAGCTAATTGGTATGGAATAAAAATATTAGGTTTCTCTTCAGATGGCGATACGCGACTTTTGTAACTTTATTTTCAACGAGTCAGTTGTCGAAAATGATGTCGAAACGACTTCTATAATAAATTTGGAGCTGATGTGGGTGGATCAAATTTTAAAGATTAATCGGGATTGGGATGTTTTTTTATTAATGCAACACCCTGTATTTTATTGTATTTTGGCTTCCTTTTTGATCACTTTACTAGACTGCACATAAAGTGATTAAAAAGCAAGCCAAAAATGCAATAATATACAGGGTGTTCCATTTAAAAAAAAACATCTTGACCTACTTACTTTTTTGAGCCACCCTGTAGAAGTTAAAATATTTTCCTGTAATACATCCTTATACATAGTTTAGGTTTGCCCTTAAACAAAATTCCTAATGAACACTATGAGTTTTTTTTCGCAAAAAAAGATGTAGAAAATCGTGCATTATTTTTAAATTTTCCTGTATATTTTAGAAAATTTTTTAGAACGGCCTGTTCACCGCAAATTTACCAACGGTATAATTGTTTCTTAACCTATCATGCTTACTACGACGCTAAAATAATGGATGCAAGTACAGAAAAAAAAAACAGATGTCTCACAAAATTATTTAAAAATAAATCAATTTCTTTTTAAATTTTCAAACTTGAATTACTCAGAATAAATCAATTTATTTTTAAATTTTCTAACTTGAATAACTCGGTTATTTTGGACTTATTTAGAAAACGGTAAAAAGAAAATATGTTTCTTTTATCGAGATCTACCAGCTCTGAAAATATTTGCACTTATTCAAGTATCACCCTGTAGAGTAATATCGCGTTTTTTATAACTGATTTAGCCACAATTTTTTTGTTTGTCCTTTTGCGTACGGTTTTTTAAATAAATAAACATGACATTCCACCAATCGACATTCATGTACCTATGCGATGATTTTTTTTGTCAAATTCCACACCTCTTTCGAGTTGTCTGCCGGCATTTTAGCCACGAGAAAAATGTCTGTCAACAGTTTTACTTTAATAATAAATAAAAGCTGTTTTCGCAATTATAACACGTGTACCTTATAATATTTTTAGTGTCAAAATTTCACCCTTTCGATTGGCCGCCCCCGGTTTAAACCCCGGTGCTGGCAGACATAACTATTTCATAATGGCTACACAAAAGGATACTTCACACAAAAAATTAGCCATGTAACGATGATAAGGTTTTTTTATGTAACCAGCTCTCCGTCTATACGAATTACAGTTTTTACAACAATAGGCAAAGCACGACTTGGGGACATTTAAATGGCCAAAAATCTAATGCTGGAAGTACACACTCGCCGAGGTGACCCGAGGCGCGACAAAAAAAGACGGTCCTAGTCAATAACAATGTAGATATCGTTAATTTTTTGTCGGGCCTCGGGTCGCCTCGGTGAGTGTGTACTTCCACCATTAAGGCTCATTCTCACGACTCGTGTACTTGACAAACATTTGTAATTGGTATACAGGGTATACACGGTGCGTCGGGCATCTATATGGATTTGGATAATCTATACGAAATTTTTAAGTTATTTATTATAGGAGCTACGCCGCACTCGCCAGATATGCCAATAAAAAATATCTACCAAGTACACGAGTCGTGAGAACGCGCCTTTAGATGTCGACGGAAACATTTTTTTATGGTCCTATAAATTTCGTTAGCAACGACTCTTAAAAACGATTTATGTACTTAAAATTGGTAGACACGACAAAGTCAAAATATAAAATATTTATAAAACGTTAAAAAAATTGATTTGATTACATATTTTTATTCGAGTTTATTTTTGTATTTATGTAAGTAATATTTTGTAATTAAAGAATATATTTTTGAACAGAATTTGATTCAATGTATTCGTTTTATTATTATTAAAAACTAACTAAGCATTTTAGGGCATACATTTATACAAACTTTTTTACTTATTTTTATCTGCAGAATATGCTGTCAAAGTTTCCGGAATACAATTCGGACCACCCTGTATATTATTCGATATATTATTTGAACGCTTGTAAACAATTAAATTTTCGCTATCATTTAGGACTTTTTTTATAACGCTGGCTGTTTTTGGTAGCCGATTCTAAAGTGCATATACAGGGTGTTTCAAAACAAATGCGAAAAACTTTAGGGGGTGATTCCTTGTTCAAAATAAAGGGTAGTTTGCTTTATAAACGTTGGGTCAAAAGTCAACCATTAGGGAGATATCGCGGTACAAAGATGGCGGAAAAATAATGTTTTTATTTTTTATCTTGAAAACGAAAAGAGATAGACTAATGAAATTTTATGGAAGCATTACTGTTATGAAAACACACTTTCAGGTAATTTTTTTACTTTTTTAAAATGAGTTTACCGCAATATCTCCCTAATGGTTGACTTTTGACCCAACGTTTATGAAGCAAACTACCCTTTATTTTGAACAAGGAATCACCCCCTGAAGTTTTTCGCATTTGTTTTGAAACACCCTGTATAGAGATATATTTTGAATTACATACCTTGGTTTAACGGGGAAGTATTAAGGAAGTACGGGGAAGTATTAAGGATGTACGGGGATATATTGAGGATGTATGGGGAAATATGAGGAAGTATGAGGAAGTATTGAGGATGTAAAGGAAGTATTAAAAGGGGTAGAAGGAAATAAAAAGGATATAAAGGAAGTATCAGGGATATATGAGGAAGTTTTTGCATAAAAGGGAAGTTGGTGTACAAAATTTAGGTCAGCGGTTTCCCCCTCGCATCTGAGTGTATGTGCAATAAAATATTTTACCCTGCACCCTGCAACAACTGATGTTTTATATAATAATATTTGATATTTAATAAGTAATTTGCATATATTTTTAGTGTTGCTGTAGGTGGAAAGACTTTCTATGCTTCGCCGTTTTTCTTTACTACAATACCAGCCCCCGTACCGCACTCTTTTTCTAGTATAGTCAGTTTAAAAATCCTTAGAACTCAAAACAAACATTTGTATAAGACTATCGTAAATGATACATTGGAATTAGCCAATGAATCCTTGATAGGAGCGCACATAAGTGCAGAGTTTTCATTAGACAAAATAAACGATGCGATTAAATTTATAGAAGATAAAAAATGTACTGGCAAAGTTCTGATTAAGATTGATGATTAAATTTATTAAGTATTAAAATAGAGAGAATGTGATATTGTAATAAAGATAGGTATTTAACTGTTTGTTTTGTGTTTATTCGAAAGGTATTTATTTTCAATAAAACTGCTGATATTTCTACTATTGTTTTATTAAGTATAGTCTATTTTATAAAAATATTAATACAATACCTATGTATATCACATATTTGGATCTTAATACATACATTAATAGGAAACTAAACTATACCGGGTGCATCTCAGAAGTGACTCACCCCTATAACTTTTTTATCTTCTTAGATAAAAAAAACGAGATTTTGTATGTTAGTATATGACATAAATTAGGATTGATTGTCGTATTCAATTGTTTTCGGTCACTTCCTGTTTCACCGGAAATGACTACCAACTTTTAATTTTTAAATGGTACCCTCGGTATTTTTTTACTTTATTTGATAGAGAATGACACTCTGAATAGGCATATGATATTATATATATATGGCATATCATATTTCAAGTGTGTGGTATCAAATTATTCGTAAAAAAATGTTTTTTCCAAATATGCTAATGAGCCACCCTCGTTCCATTTGAAAAAATTGAGATATTATTAAAAATACGATTGGAGCATTTTCTAACTGGCCAGGACAAGACACTAAAAACATTAGACGATCAAATCTATTTTTCCAAGACTCCTTGATTAAGAGTTGGTGTTTTTAACATAGCCATGGCACTCTAGATTGAATTTTAAAATACGATTTTTTATTAAGCGAGAATTTCAAAAGTTAATAAGTAAAGTAAAAAAATACCGAGGGTGCTATTTAAAAATCAAAAGTTGAAGTCATTTCCGGTGACACAGGAAGTGACCAAAAACAATTGAATACGTCAATCAATCCTAATTTATGTCATATACTAACATACCAAATCTCGTTTTTTTATCTGTAAAAATTAAAAAGTTATAGGGGTGAGCCACTTTTGAGACGCACCCGGTATTTATGACTACATGCCTTGTTTATACGTTTTACATATACCAGGCTATAAGGTACCCTTACATAAGTAATATTCTCACAACCAATCCTAGTATATATCTTCATTATTATAACATGTATAGGACAGTATATGAACTGAATTTTGTACTTCTAAAACTGACCCAGAAAGAAAATATCCCAGACCACAATAATTATTTGTTGTTATAAAACCAGACAAATTGGCTTAGAACTGAACATTGATGACATTCCCCATATAATTTTACATATAAAATGACAGCGATCTTCATTTCATAGCCATCGCTGACGCCGTTTTTTTTTTCGATCATATGATTACTATTATCTGATCTGTCTTTAAATTTCTGTTGTTTCACAAAATCTTCATTAAAAATATTGAAATAGGGAATGAAAGGGAGTTTACTTTCTTTAAAATTTGGTTCTTAACTTTAGGAATATATACAGGGAAGCCATAATTTTTCAAATAGTTACTTTCTTTTGATTTACAAAATACGTTGGAAATGGTTTGTATCTTGAAAATTCAGATGTTCCCATTTTTAAGCTACTTGTATTAAAGTTTTTGATTTGGCGTTTCTTTACAAAAATATTTGATTATACAGCGTGAACCACAATTATACAGGATTGTACACGCTACTATTTTGTAGGAGAAATGTTTAAGGTTCCTTTCAATTTCTTGGAAATGTGAAGATGATATTAACTATTTTACGGTATTGCAATCATCAATGGCTGAATTTCAATTAATTTGCAGAAGTTATTTGCCTGTATACATTTCACAAGTTTCATATAATATTTAATAATATAGGTATGTATAAAGTATTGACACTATTTCATAGCTGCTTACTATAGCTTGACTTACACCGGGTGTTTTTCGAAAGTGGCTCACCCCTGTAACTTTTTCAAATAAAATAACAAGATTTGGTATGAGAGTATGTATATGACGCTTTGAATAAGAAGACTAAGGAAGGAGCATAATGCTATCCATGTATTCATGCATGGTGGGCGGAAAAAGCACTCTAGGGTGGGGATCCTTGACAGTTCTGTTTGACGATTCATTTGACACATTTGAATTTGATTTGAAATTTTGTAGTAAATTTTTTGTAAAAATTTTGTAGTAAACCGATCATTTATCAAATTCACTTAAATTAACTAAATTATATATTTTTCTTGCATTTTAGCTTTTATTTACTACTTGTCAAAGATCAGATGTCAAAGAATTTTGATACGTTAATTTGACTTACCTGCTTCAGTAGCGTATCGGATGTTTGTGTTAATAAATACTTATTACCTATAACTTATCTATTTTTATTAGAATTATATATTTTTATAACAATTTTAATAACTACCAACATTTATTCACAACGTAAAATAAAACAACAAATTATTGAGTCTACCCCACGTCAACCCTACATCATAGTTTTACATTTTTTAAATAAAATTAGAACGGCACTGATAAACCGGAATTTAAGTCGGCCATATTTGAGGCCCATCGCGGTGTACCTAAGGTTTTTGGATATGCTCCTTCCTTAGTCTTCTTATTTAAAGATATGACGTTATGTTAGTTTCGGTCACTTTCTGTTTCACCGGATATTACTACAAATTTTGATTTTTAAATGCTACCTCGGTATTTTTTTACTTTATTTGATAGAAATTGGCATTCTAAATAGAATAACATATCATTTGTACAACTTTTGACATTCTTAATTAAAAAAAATATTATTTTAAATTTCAATTTTTCAAATTTCAAATTTCTTAAATCACTAATTTTTAACCCTTAAGTAAACTAACACCCCGTCTCACAGACGCAAAGGACTAGCTGGACATATGACACTCCTCTCCTCTCCACTTCTAATTATCATCCAACTATGTAATTTCAATACGCATCAAAACAAGTTAAAGGCCGGCAGGGCAATTTGCGAAAGTGTGTAGTTTTCGAAATATTTTAGTTCAAACTGTCGATGCCGTCTGACAGACGGAGTGTTAGCGTTAGCGTAAGTTTTTTTTAAATTTGTGGAATGAATCAAGAACCTAGTAGCTCAAAACATGTAAAGTATGGCAAGAAAGATTACAAGGATACTCTTCTAAAGTGGTTTGAAGGACTGGCAGCGATAATAGCAAAATAGTGACAAAGAATCCGAATGTAGCGAAAATTTTGCCATAGAGAGCGATCATAATTCTGAATTCAAATTAGAAGGTAAAAAAAACGGTTTTTAACTAATATCTAATGGTATGTAGCTGTGTATGTTTTGATATAGGTGATGAAAATATGGATGTGAACGATCAGTAAACTAATATCGAAGAAAGTGAAGAGAACAATTTGTTTGGAATGCGCAAAAAAGTGTGTAGGGAACAAGCCCATCTTTAGGCATTGTCATTTTTTTATTCTTTATATTTTCTTTTGCTTTTTTGTGCTTAATAGATAGGTTTTTATATGCTAAATATAATAATCAATATATTTTTTCATTTTCCTTTCGCTTTTTTTTTCTATTTCGATGAGAAACAAAGATATGTCAAAAATCCAAAATTAGTACTTTTATTTCAAAAATATAAAACATGTTCGCATAATATAAGCATTAGATATTTTTTTCCTGTAGTTTTAATGCTAATGATTCACTCCACTTACAAAAAATCTGTTAGACACGAACAAAATATGAATTTTGTTTAATGCGTCTCTCAGACGGTCTGTTAGTATAGGCACGACTATTTCAATATGTTAGTACTTAAGGGTTAATCAAGGAGCCTTGAAATAATGTATTTGATCGTCTAATATGTTTCGTGTCTCTTCCTGGCCAGTTATAACATGCCTAAATCGTATTTTTAATCATAACTTAAATTTTTCAAATAGAAGGAGGGTGGCTCTTTAACACATTTCAAAAGAGTATTTTTTTACAAAAAATGTGGTACCTCATACTTGGCATTTCAATTCAAATTGTTATATTTCTTGTTGTGGCAAGTTGTGGCACAAAAATGAAATTTAAGGTACAAATGTTTTTAAGCGAAAATGTCAAAAGTTGGCATATGATATGGCATTGTATTCAACATTTTATTTTCTATCAATCAAAGTAAAAAATATCTAGGGCAAATATAGGTATTAGGTATACTCTATCTACTCTTTGCCTAGGATACCATTTATAAATCAAAAGTTGTAGTCATTTCAGGTAAAACGAGTGACCGAAATTAACCCAATATGTCAGTCAATCCTGATTTATGTCATATACTAACATACCAAATCTCGTTTTTTTTATCTGACAAAAAAAGGCGTAGAGGTGAGCTACTTTTGAAAAATACCCGGTATACCTGCTCATATTTAGTTCTCATTTATTAAGCAACACACACATTTGTATGCAACCTACATTATTCTTAACTGTTCTTTAAAAGAAAAGTCCAAAAAAGCTAAACTAGGATCGTCTTATTTTTATTTTACATAAATATTGTTCTTCTTGTGTCTTACACAAATTTAACCATTCACTTGTCCATATTTTGTAATATCACTCCAAGCAATCACAATATACTGTCTATTCCTTTTTACAGAGAACTCTCTTAAAAAACTTATATTCTCACTCTTGAAATTAAAGTCTTACTAGCTTCTATCACTTTTCTCTGATACACTCACAGCACACGAATCTAAGAAAGTTCCTCGTCCATTATTTGATATGTCCACATACTGTTTCTTGCCTTTGGAGCATAGCTTGTTCGTGAATTTGGCGTCACGCTTCCTAGAAACAATATTAAGTTTTAGTATGTTTTACTGTTGTGTAATTAAATCTACATCATACCCTCTTCCTGGTAGCTCAAGTTGATCTACCACCACGCTTTTGACGTACAAATGGTCGTTGCACCAAAACAAACACAGAGTCTTAGGTTCTAACACGTTCATATCATATACCCAGCTTAATTCCACTTTCCTAACATTGCCAGCTGAAAGAAAAATCATTTGGCAATTGTCGTAATGCGTTATAGTGCTATTCATTTTACCTAAGTCAATTGGATTTGCTACAATGGTAGTATAGGTGGATCCATGGGCTAACTTAGTCTCAGCAGGTGTTAGGTCTGCCTTGATAACTCCATTGGGACTGAACATAGAAGCCTTAATTCGGCCTTGGACCCAGTCTTCTGCGTAAACTGGTTTGGCTAATTCTACACTTACACGATATGCTTGCTCTGGAATCGAAATATTTTATTTATAATACAGGGTGGTCCGAACTGTATTCCGGAAACTTCGGCAGCATATAAAAATGCAGATAAAATAAGTAAAAAAGTTCGTATAAATGTATCTTCCAAAATGCTTAGTTTCGGAGATACAGGGCGAGAATTTTTCACTTTTATTTCGATTTTTTCCAAATAATTTTTGAAGTAAAGTCACTTTGGATGAAAATTGGTGTCTGGGAGTTTTTTGACATGAGAAATTTGATTTTGATGTCAATATGACTCCTATTTACTGGTTTGAAGAGTAATAACTTTTCGTCCGTACCTGTAAAAAACTACTGAGTAAAAAAATATACATTTACGACTTTTTTTAGGTAAAAAAGGTCTCTTGGTAAAAATCGCTACGAGTAATGGTTCTCGAGATATTTGAAATCGAAATTATCAATACCTGTCGTCATTGACAAATTAAACATGTTGGCAAATAGTTATTAGACTGAAATCATAAATTTGAAATGTTTTTGTGCCAAAAGTTCCACAGTAACTGTTTTATCATCATTTTTTCGCAGAAAAATTTATAATTAAAAAAATAAAAAAATCCCAAATTTATTATTTCAGTCAAATAACTATCAACTCAACGTGTTTATTTTTTGTCAATAATGACATGTATTGACTATTTCCATTCTAAATGTCTTGAGAACGGTTGCTCGTAGCGATTTTTACTAAGAGACATTTTTTACCTAAAAAGTCATGGAGATGTATATTTTTTCACTCAATAGTTTTATGCGTACTGACGAGAGAAAAGTTATTGCTCTTCAAAACAGTTAAAACACATGTAGGTGGCGCGGCATTCCCTACAAATAGGAGTCATACTGACATCAAAATCAAATTTATCATGTCAAAAAACTCCCAGACACCAATTTTCATCCAAATATTGACGTTACTTCAGAATTTATTGGAAAAAATCGAAATAAAAATGAAACTTCTACACCCTGTATCTTCGAAACTAAGCATTTTAGGACATATACACTTCTCCAATAAATTAACGCACCACAAAAAAATAACCAAAAGTTTAAGTTAAGTTTTTGTCAAAACCACTTATCCGGTTTGGACGATTTTTTTTTAGGTTATTCTTTCCACAATGTTGCTATACTAACTGTATTTTGATAGGAACCCTTTTTATACTAATACCGGGTGTAGCAATTATAACGTTACAGTTACAGTATCAAGTTAAAATTGAAATCACATTTTAGCCTCATCTTTTTTTACATTTTATTTTTTTATTTACTCCATTAGCTTCCTTATTACACGAGAAACAACATTTTATAGGATGACATAATTTAATATTGGTTTTAATTAACATTTTTCCATTTTACTCACTAAACTAAGTAGCAGGCTATGGAAAAACAAGGATTACCAGTAAATTTCAAATAGAGATGATAGTTTCTGTGCAAACTTGTAGACCATTAGTATCTCAGAGCTGAGTTTGAAGGGTCCGAGCTGTTACGAAACGTTGTCTTAATGTTGAGAGTTTTAAAAAACGTTCCTGGATCGGATTGGTTCTTCGATTCCTGCCTTGTCCCGGCCTGCGACAATTACTCCCAGTATCTCTATACCGTTGTATAACTCGTGAAATGGTTGAGTGAGTTACATTAAATCGTTCACCAATTCTTCGGTAGCTCCAACCTTCCTCAGACAATATTAATGCTTGAGCACATTCTTCGCCAGTAAGATTTCTTGTTTCACGTGCACGTTGCATATTTTTGATATAATAAAAGGACGAAAACGACTGACACTGACAACAAGCATCTCTATTTGACATTTACTGGTAATCCGTGTTTTTCCATAGCCTGCTACTTACTTTAGTGAGTAGAATGGAAAAATGTTAATTAAAACCAATATTAAATCATGTCATCCTATAAAATGTTGTTTCTCGTGTAATAAGGAAGCTAATGGAGTAAATAAAAAAATAAAATGTAAAAAAAGATGAGGCTAAAATGTGATTTCAATTTTAACTTGATACTGTAACTGATCAACTTTACAGGTGTAACAAATTTTATTAAAAAACACGTTATAATTGCTACAGCCGGTATTAGTATAAAAAGGGTTCCTATCAAAATACAGTTAGTATAGCAACATTGTGGAAAGAATAACCTATCATTCAAAAAAAAATCGTCCAAATCGGATAAGTGGTTTTGACAAAAACTTAACTTAACTTTTGGTTATTTTTTTGTGGTGCGTTAATTTATTGGGGAAGTGTATTTATATGAACTTTTTTACTTATTTTTATCTGCGAAATATACTATGGAAGTTTCCTGAATACAGTTCGGACCACCCTGTAGATATTGCCTCTGAAAAAATAGACTTAGATGTTTTATTTTAAAACTAAAAGATAAATAACACACGTATTGTACATATTTCTATTTTAATAACACACATATTGTACATATTTCTATTTTAGACATCTAGCTATGTATATAAGAAATATATTTGGAGAAACACTGAAAAATACTGTAAAAATTAATCACTTACGGCAAAAAGGATATTCCCTTCCTGTTGTAAGGAAATACTTATTTCCAACTGCTTCCTGTAGTTTTTCTTGAGGCTGTACCTCGTTTTCTAAAAACCCTAACGATGTATCAGCTTTGTACCCCATCACAGCACATGACATTCCTGGTTTGCAACCAAAACACTTGCCGGACATGAACTGCTTAAAACTGGAACACTGTCTACCTGTAATGCGTTTGAATTTTTGATATTTATATCGATTCATTGATTAAAAAACCTACCTATATAAGGACAATTTGTATTAATACTGTCGATAAAAAGTTTTATTGCTCTGACATGATTGCATGCAACTAAAACTCTAGAAGCCTCTTCCAGACCATCTCTAAAAATAAAAGATTTAAGAATGAATATAGAAAATTGCGAGGGGTAAACCGCAGAGGGAAAAATGTACACCGTAATTCCTTTTACTCAAATAATTCCTCAGAATTCCTCGTAATTCCTTCGGAATTCCTTGGAATTCCTTGGTCTTCAAGGTCAAGGTCAATCATTCAAGGTCTTCCTTAGAATTCCTTGGTACGAACTCGGTAACTCTTTCAGTCTGAATCAGCGTTGCCACCTCGGTTTCGCAGTTCCGCAATGAATTTTTTCGTGATTTTTATAAATGTCTAATGGCTCTATAAGTACTAGATCTAACAATAAAAAGTACTATTACGAGATTTACGTTTTTAGTTAAATTTTAGGATTAATAGGGATCATGAGGTGAAAATACTGGAAATATGTCGGCACTTACTTATTAAAATTAATTTTTCTCGGGATTTTTTGAAAATGATAGGTACCTAGTTGTATCTATAGGAAAGGAAATTAATAAAACTTCAGTTGCACGTCATAATACGATCACCAGTAAATTCCATAAGATTACGCATGGTGTCATTGATGAAATGCACCCAAAGTTGAATTAATTTCCCTATAGTATACCTAGGTATTATTCCGAGGAAATGAAAAAACAACTTTCTGAGTATAAAATGAGTGAATAAAAAAAATCTTATCAGGGTTTCTTTAAAATGGCGAAATCAGGGAGCGTTATAAGTAGATCTCTCGGGGTGGTTCTGCCGTACTATTGGAATATATTTTAGATATATAATCGAGAATACAATATTAAATTAAAAGAATATCTAACCTGTAGATATTTGATATTAGGAAATTTTGGAAGCGATTCGAAAACGAAAAACAGATAGTAAAAAATCGCCTGCAAAACGTTTTTCTTTAAATTCAGTACTACCTATTCTAGTATTCGTGGTCTACTAATGTTCGTTATTTTTTTTATAAAGTTGCTTGTAATTCCTCTTAATTCCTGTGGAATTCCTCTAAATTCCTAAGGAATTCCTTGGAATTCATCGGAATTCTTACGGAAATCATTGGAATTCCTCGTAATTCCATGGAATTTCTGTAGAATTCCTTCATAGTGTACACCATAATTCCTCTGCGGTTTACCCCTCGGAAAATTGTCTTATTCCTTTAGTTTCTGGTTTTATCTTTCCAGTTTTTCACAATTTAAAAAAAAAATATAGTCAAAATAGTCATGATATTATGCTGGGCAAGAGTCATGTACCTAATATTTAATTTATAGAAGGATCTTGCTTCTCATTTTTCCTAATGTTACCCGTCGAATAACAATTTTAAGTATCAAATAATATACAGGGTGTCCCAAAAATAAGTGCAAGTATTTTAAGGGGTGGTAGATCTCGATAAAAGAAACATGTTTTCTCTTTATCGGTTTTTAAATAAGTCCAAAACAACGGAGTTATTTTACTTTGAAAATTTCGAAAAAAAAATTTTTTGCTAAAATTTTGAGAACCACTGGATCTTTTCTGGATTTTCTTTCTTGCAAATTTAATCTAATACTTATGTTGCCATATTATCAAGAAATTATGTTTTTTAACTAAAATCTAAAAAAATTTCCAAAAAATTTTTCAAAAAATTTGGAATATTCAAATTTTTTTTTCGCGAAAAAAAATCATAGGCCTGTTTCTGCAATAATATACAGGGTGTTCCATTGAAAAAAATCATCACAATCCACTTACACTTTTTTGAGCCACCCTATAGAAGTTAAAATATTTTCCTGAAATATATCCGTGAACATACTTTAGGTTTACACTTTCAAAACAAAGTTCCCAAGTTTTTTATTCTAGGAGCTACAGATGCGCGACGCACTATTGTCGGACCCTTTGAATAAGAAGACTAAGGAAGGAGCATAATTGCTATCCATGTAGTCATGCATGGGGGGGCGGAAAAATGACTCTATGGTGGGGATCCTTGACAGTTCTGTTTGACGATTCATTTGACACATTTAAATTTGATTTGAAATTATTTAACACATTTATTTGACACATTTGAATTTGATTATTTATTATTTATTCTACTACTGATAGTTGTATAAAGGTAGTAAATCTAGATGGAAATTGTGGCAGAACTTAAATTAACAGTGACACTATCGCAATTTATCGAAAAAGACTATAAAATAGTTGGTTATACACTGAAAAAAATATTGTTCATAATATTAATGAACATTGATTATTAGGGTAATGAAGGGTAAGAGTACGCGTCGACCAAGAGTCCGCATTGCCCTTAGTTTAGACGCCCACTTGTAGATGGTGCTATAGACCCGATCGGTTATTCATTTTAGTGGTGTACGTTCAGAACAAACAAAATTTCTCTGTGTCTCAAGCGGCTGTCGCGCGGAAATCCAATAATTAAGAATTTTACCAGTTTTGATCTAGTTTTTTCGTGTAACTTGGTAGTGATTGAATAGTACCTGTTGCTTATTGTTCAATTTATGTAAGTATTATTAAAAACTAATGCTTTCGAGGTTTTGATCGATGTGTTAAGTTTATAGGTTATGTTGAAAAAAAAGTGTCCATGAGTTAATAAACAGAATTTCTGTGAGAAGGTTAAGAGTACAGTGTTCTAAGAGTACGCATGCGTACTCTTAGCTGGATGCGTGCTCTTAGCCTAATATGCGTACTTTTTACCTGTTAGAATTTTTATAGCACAGTTTTAAAGTATGTTTTATTATTTTAGATCGATATGGGTAAATATCGACGCAAGACTGATAGGAAGTTAATATTTACGGCAGAACTATTAGAACAAGTAAAGGAGAAACTGCTGCAAGGAATGAGTAAACGCTCAATAGCAGATTCAATCGGCGTACATGAAGCAACATTAACAAAAAGGCTAAAAGCAGAAACGGTGCCTACATCACTGGGTCGCTTCAAATTAGTTTTTACCCCAGAAATGGAAGAGGAACTGGCTATTTATTGTAGAGATTTAGATAAAACATTCTATGGGCTCACACTTAAGGCACTTGGTAACTTGGTTTTTGAGTATGCCGAAAGAAATAACTTAAACCACAGATTTAATAAAGAAAAAAAAGATCGGCCGGAAAAAGATTGGGTGTACTCATTTTGTAAGCGTCATAAACTTAGTTTACGTGTTCCAGAAAAAACAAGCCTTGCTCGCGCTGCTGGCTTTAATAGGCCTCAAGTAGAACTGTTTTTCAGAAACCTAAGACAAATCTTGAATGAGAAAAAAATACTGCGGCACCGTTTGTACAACATGGATGAATCAGGTATCCTAACCGTGCCCAACAAATTACCCAAGGTTGTAGCTCCCAGAGGGAAAAGAACTGTAGGAAAAATCGTTTCATCTGAGAGGGGCCAGTTAATAACTGCGGTGTGTTGTATGGGAGCAACTGGACAATACATTCCACCTGCACTGGTTTTTCCACGAAAGAGACTGAAAGCTGAGCTAACTGATAGAGCTCCAGCAGGGACACTCCAGCTTGTTTCAGACTCGGGATTCATCACTAGCGAGCTCTTCCTGAGATGGCTGGATCATTTTCAAACATTTTGCAAAAGCTCAGTTGAAGACCCAGTTTTACTCGTTTTAGATAATCATTCGAGCCATGTGAGTTTACAAGCAGTTATGAAATGTCGCGGGTTGGGTATTAACATGTTAAGTTTACCTCCCCATTGTAGCCACAAAATCCAGCCACTGGATAAAAATTTTTTCGGACCACTGAAAAGCGCTTATGCCCAAGAATGCGACAAATGGCATGTCAATAATCCGGGGCGACCAATTACTATGTTTCAAGTAGCTGAATTGTTCGCAAATGCCTACAGTAGAATAGCATCAATTGAAAGAGCGATAAAAGCTTTTTAAATATGCGGTATTTTTCCATATAATCCGCATGTGTTTTCGGAAGAAGAATTTGCACCCGCTACAGTGACAGATCAACCATTTCCAAACCAAAACTCCAGTGCAGATGAATACGACAGTGATGAAGATTTACCCTTATCAGTTCTTCAGCACAAACTGATGGAAAACATTCCGACAAAGACTATACTCTCAACACCTGTATCAAGGTCACAAAATTCACCGCCTTCACGCCACTAGAAAAGTTGGCCCACTCTCCACTGCCCTCAACATCTTCTCTCGGGAAAGCAAACACCATCACCAACACTAAGGGTACGAAATTCACCGCCTTCCACACCACCACAAAATTCGACCAACTTTATCTCGCCGAAATTAATAAAACCACTACCAAAAGCACTACCAAGAGCTGCCAATGCCCGCAAGAAGAAGAAGTCTGTACTGCTAACTGCGTCACCGTACAAATCTGAGTTAGAAGAGCTCCAAGCATGCAAGCAAGCCAAAACCCAAAAATTCAAACAGACGAAACGAAAGTATATGGACGAATTAAAGAGTCCGGAGTCTATAAAATCACAAAATCAAATCAGCAAAAAATCACTAAATTCACCTTCAAACCAAAAACAGATTTTGTGTCCGGTTTGCTATGAAATATATGAAGACCCCCCTGAAAGTGATTGAATTCAGTGCATGACATGTAAAAATTGGTTCCATGAGGACTGCACTGCTTACTCTGGATTAGGGTACTACATATGCCACATCTGTGATGATTCTGAAGATTGAGACAGTGTGCGTACTCTTAGAAGATCATATGCGTACTCTTAAACTGCAAATCTGCTAAGAGTACGCATTTACAGATGTGTCAAATTGTTTTTTTTTCTAATATACTTTTATGCTGTATTTCTTATTCCCGTGTGAAACATTTATTTAAAACCTTTAAGTTTATTATAATATTTTTAAATTGTTCTTAGCTTTCATATTTTGACTTATATAAACAGTTTACTGAGGATTGCGTATTCTTACCCTCCATTCCCCTAACTGTTGTTTCATTGGGACAATGATTTTTTTCATTAATATAATGATTTGTTAATCATAGATCGATGTCCGATTTATTAATACTACGAATCTAATTTCATCAATATAATGAAAATCTGGTTATTAAATTAATGTAAGGTTTTGATTAATATAATGAACGCGTTCATTGTACCAATGAACGCGTTCTTTATTTTAGTGCTGAAACTTTAATAAACAGATATTCATTATATTAATGTACTAAATCATTGATTAATGAGTTGTACATTGTGACAATGAACAATGTTATTAATACAACGAACACTACATTATATTAATGTACGCGGTTATTAATATCATGAATAAAATATTAGGGCTTAAATGTCCGCCATGTTGATCGGTTACTTTGGCACTTTAATAACGTCTGTGTGGTTGAGTTATTCAGTGAGGCTTTAGTTTCAATAGAGCGGTAAGTGTTCTCTTCAATATTTTAAATATTTTAAATAAAAGTCCTATCGTATTGTAGTTAATTTGTTGTGTTGTCAAATCAAATTCCGCTGTGTGAGATCTCTGGTGTGGGTATTCATTGAAACAGCGGTTTCCAAATATGTTTCAGAAGATAAAAAACAAAAAGAAGAAAAACATAGTAACAAGTCGAGGCATGGAACTGATTATGGTAAATTCTAATGTTCTTTTAATATTTGGCATTTTAATTATTTTGATATACGTCTTTTAGAACCTGAAGAAGATGTTGAGACCTGCCTTCAAGCCCTCAAATTCGACAATTTAACATCGCACCCACTTGATGCGACTTGGAAAGCTTGTTGCAAATTCGTCTAGATGTTATAAAATCTAAGGATACAGATAATATAATGAAGAAATGGTCTTTTTATAGAAATCCCTCAGGATATCGACTGGTAAATTGATTTTCTTATTATAATTTACCCTAAAATTAATAATAACATTACTATTCTCTTCGTCGATTCGATTTTTTTAATTTTTATATGCTATATCGAGTTTAATAAATTATTATTAGTTTATTGCATTTGTTTTTTATTAATAATCCCTAATGGAAAAATTTACTGTGCTCGTAAGTAAGTCGGCACTATTAGTAATTTTGTTACTTTGTAGCTAAGGGCTTGTTCAAATGGAAATCTAATTATAGTAGAATTATTTCAGGTAGTTGGCTGGGAAATGACTATCAATGACATTTCATATCAATGACAGCGATCTTCATCATCGATTATACGGTGTAACTAGAGTTACTAATAGTGTCGACTTTTAAATGTATAACTAAGTAGGTTATGAAATTATTTCATTGTATTAATGATAACGGTTCATTAATATAAGGATTTAGGTACATTATATTAATGAAATCTGTTCATTGTACCAATGAATGTGTTCTTCAAATTAATGAACACTGTTCATTGATTTAATGAACTTAAAGTTCATAGAGTTAATGAATTACTTTTCACTGTGCCAATGAAATCGTTCATCCGCTCAAAATTAATGATTTAATTCATTATATTAATGAACTTTTTCATTATATTTATGTCGACTTTTGGTTCAGTGTATAGCGTGCGGTAGATCTCGGCAAAAATCGAGTGAAATAATGGAACAACTTTTCGCTAGTAAGTGACTACATAATATACATACGTGTAGTAAACCGATCATTTATGAAATTCACTTAAATTAACTAATTATATATTTTTTCTTGCATTTTTGCTTTTATTTACTACTTGTCAAAGATTAGATGTCAAAGAACTTAGATATGTCAATTTGACTTACCTGCTTCACTACACGTATGTATATTATATAGTCACTTACTAGCGAAAAGTTGTTCCATTATTTCACTCAATTTTTGCCGAGATCTACCGCACGCTACACAACCAACTATTTTAGAGTCTTTTTCGATAAATCGCGATAGTGTCACTGTTAATTTAAGTTCTGCCACAATTTCCATCTAGATTAACTATCTTTATAAAACTATCAGTAGCAGAATAAATAATAAATAACATAAAATAAGCTCCGTAAAGACTGACAAATCCACAAAATTTCAAATCAAATTCAAATGTGTCAAATGAATCGTCAAACAGAACTGTCAAGGATCCCCACCCTAGAGTCCTTTTTCCGCCCGCCATGCATGAATACATGGATAGCATTATGCTCCTTCCTTAGTCTTCTTATTCAAAGCGATAAACGGAGGCATGCAAAAAATGCAATAAATTTAAAAACTGCGTTATTGTCTAACCAATCAAAGTCTTTAAATTCTACCAATAAAATTAATATCGTATCAACGTATCGTCGGACAACGGATGCATGAAAATCAAGCTTAATTAGTGGAAAAGTCAAAAGTTTGTTAACTTTTTCCAATAATTGAAAAGTACCACCACTAATTATGACGTTCTGAGTTGAAAACTTCTACGGCTGATTGAAACTACTAATTTATTCCACTGATTTCGAGGTTCTGAATGAAGCTTTACTTTTCAAATTGTCGCCCTGTTGTATAATTATTGCGTAATTACCTTATAAGAGTCAAAGGCACCAACGGCGTTTGAGTAATATCGCACCCGGGTTGCTCCTTCCCGTCGTTCGGATAGAAATCCAAATGGCCGCAAGGCTGCGACATTCCGTACCCTGCAAAAAAGGGAGTATGCATACCTATTAAGATAGGTATTGGAGAGGGTATTAGTGCAGTGCTATTCTAGAGTGATGGTTCTGAAAAGTGAATTGACAGTATGGATTAGCGAGTGGCAAATGTTACCTAAGAATATGATCCCTTTTCCGTCAGTGTGAATAACATCTACTAGCTCGGCATCTGACGGGTCCAGTCTTACATGGGAAGGCATTCCCTGTAAAAAAGTGGATGGTTAAATTGGTTTAGTAACTATTGGGTTTGGGTTTTTTTGCGAAAAAAAATGTTGAAAATTTTATATTTTTCTTGACATTTTCTGGAAAAAATTGAAAACTTTTGAGTACCGCTTGTTCGGTTTCCGGAAATTTGTTTCTAGTGCTTGCAGAAAATGCAATGTTGCCACCATTAGACACTATCCACATTCTGTATGTTTATCAGTTATAAGTTAAGATTTTTAAATTTCGACAAAAAAGATGTACCTAAATTAATTTTATTTATAGATTTTTTAATCTTATACATGGTCCGGCAATGGTGCGTCGGGCTTCTGTAGCTCCTAGAATAAAAAACTTGAGAATTTTGTTTAAGGGCAAACCTAAAGTATGTATGAGGATGTATTTCCGGAAAATATTTTAACTTTTATAGGGTGGCTCAAAAAAGTGTGTGTGGATCTGGATGTTTTTTTTAAATGGAACACCCTGTATATTATTGCATTTTTGGCTTCCTTTCAGATCACTTTACATAATCCTAAGATTACAGTTGAGGGTTGGAACCTTTGGTGTTACACAGCAAAATAAAAACACTAAATCACCACAATACACCAAAACACTTTTACTTTACACTAAACTCATCAAGAGTTTATAATCATCTGCTGATGATGCTAACATGGTTAGCGAAACGCACGTCCAGTGTAAAAGTAAAAGTGTTTTGGTGTATTGTGGTGATTTAGTGTTTTTATTTTGCGATAATCCTAAGATATGAGTAAATCTATTTTGATAGTTTCAGAGATATTAAAAAATAAATCAAAAATATATGTTATTCAACACTTCTTAAAAAAATATTAAAAATACATGAACTGTTCTGAAATCAAAACTATATTAGATATTTTCTTTAAAAGGTCTGTTCTTACTTTGCTATAAATATGGTAATCGTAAATCATATAGGATGTTCAATATTTTACGCCAAACTTTCAAAAATATTAAAATAATTTTTGTTCGTTTTTTTAAATGGAACACCCTGTATATTATTTTTTTATTTGATGGAGAATTAAAAAATTAACATTTTTTGTATTTAAAGTATTTCAAAATTTTTAATAGTTTTCCGGATACACGCAGTATTAATTTATATGGCGCTTTCAATGGTAAAATAGGAGAGAAAAATCATTGGGTGGCTTTGATAAAAATTTATTGTGGAAAATGCCATATGAAATACAAAAACTATTAAAAATTTTGAAATAATCTAAATGCAAAAAATGTTCATTTTTTAATTCTCCATCAACGTAGTTCATATTGTTCAATATGTTTTATTTAATAACTTATTTCTTTCATTCTGTATAATCTGCTTATTATGAAAGTTGAAGATTTTTCAACGATATCATTGGCAAACCGGCATCGCCGCGCATGGCCGCCTATTCCTCGAACATGATTGGCCAGAGTACGTCACAGGATTTGTTACCACGCGGTTGCCATGGCTTTTAGCCTTTCCTATTCGCTTGCTTTATCCCCAACTTCACGGTCTCTTCTGAAAAGAGTAGGAATATTGAATACTATTGAAATATCCAGTGGCGGTGTCATTTTTTTGATCATTATTACTTTATTTCATTATTTTATACCGGTTATCCTAAACTTTATTCCTATATTTTTAGTATATTTGATAGTTAAGTTGTGTTTTATTGTTTTGTTATCTTGTTATAATGTTTTTCGTTCGTAGTTTTTAATTATTAATATCAAGTTTGATCGTATATTTGTGTTTTAAAACGAATAAATTTGTTAAGGGTAAGACGCTACATAGTCAGACAAGAGAAATAATAGCTAATTTATATAGGTAAGTTAATAATAACGTGGATGAAATCTCATTTGGTGTATTTCCTTGTGTTCATAATAGGGTTTGCGATGAAGAAGCTACAGAGAGTTCGCTTGAGTTGCCGCTTAAACGTAAACTTGAGCGGATATTTCTTTATACCGGAGTTAGCGTATCGGCTATAAAAAAATTCACACAGAAGATAAAAAAAAGGCTAAAACTAACCCCGATAAAATGATATCCAGCTCTGGAAAGAAACGACCAAGTGAGACTGCTGTCGAAAAGCTCGACGACTTTTTCGAAGTGGTCAGGAATTTGATAAATAAATTTTATCTCGAATTCAAACTCGTCCCCACAATTAGAAAGCTTTTGCAAAAATTGCAGGAAGAATCGAATTTTCCTTTTGCAGGGAAATGCTTAGGGGGTTATTAAAATCAAATGAATTTTTTTGGCGTAAATATCAAAATAACAGATAATTATTAATGGAGCGGCCCATTATATTGCAGAGAGAGATTGCATTGCAAAAATATATACGCGAAATTCGAAAATATAGCCAAGTATTATCTATTTGGATGAAACATATGGGTAGACAATGACCTAACCTTTAAAAACTGCTGGCGGAGCGATACCATATCTGGTGTAATAGGCAATATTGGATCTACTAGTGAGTAAAATTATGTTTTGTTTGCGCTTCCAAAGTTAACTATTTTCAAGATTTTTTTGCTGGAAATAGTTATATCTAGAATTATGTATTATAGAAAAAAATATAGTTAGTACAGATATATAAATAAATATACCTCAAGACTCAGTCTTGATCATCTGCTGATGGCACACATGGTTAGCGAAACGTGCGTCCAGTGTAAAATTAAAAGTGTTTTGGTGGATTGTACTGATTTAGTGTTTTATTTTGCTGTGTAACACCAAAGGGTCCAACCCTCAGCTGTAATTATTTCTTCTATTATATTAACAACACAATAATAAAATGATTCAAAATATTTAAGGGAGCTTTAATAAAAGCTTTTAGTGTTTATCTGCTAACTCAACAGTAACGATTCAAACAGCATAAAGTTTTTTGAAAAAAATTATTAATCTGAGTATTATATTTATGATACACATTATTTTCATATAACACCGTACGCCCATGCCTACTTTATGAATAAAATTGGGCGTGTTTTGTTTACAACTGCATTCCCCTGCCGATACCCCGTAGCTACAGATCCGTTGGTCACACTTTAAGTATACTGCGACGTCTACTGTTTTAAATACCTTTTTTACAGTTTAGTAAACTGAAATAATATAAATAAGAATAATTTTCCCAGACTCAGCGCACCAGAATCCATAAAAATGCACATTTTGGTAAAATTATACGGGGTGTCCCAGTATTCCGTGGACATACAACTACTACGTATTTTTGAAATCAAAATGAGTTCTTGGATACAATTTACTTTTATACAAAAGTGCTTCGTTTGTCCGCTAGAGGGCATCAAACTCCAGATATTTTGAGAACCGTTATTCCCATTTGAATGAGATTTTGGGTGTCTATGTTTTGCTAAGTATGAAAAATTACTGGAAGGGTGAAAACTACCCCGACCCCTGCATAAATTTTAGTATAAATAATATTTTCCACCGACGGACGGCCGATTTTCTTTTCGTAAGATGGTCATTCTAGTATTTAATAGATTTTTTGTTTTTTATAAAAAACACGCCACCGTGCATACTTTTTGAGGAAAATATAATTAATAATAACAATAGCTGCCGTATATAGCCCCTAAAGCCTTGTGAGACGGCAAGGTACAGCTTGCCATACTACTACAGCCGTTCGGTATACAAGGAAGGTAATGTGGCTAGCATTACGCTTCAACCGCCTATTATTACCTCAGGATTGTGAATCCCAAGTACTCATTTAAGGCTGAGTCGACCTAGGTACCCAAACTATTTTTATTTTATTAAAAATAGTCGGCTGATGAAATGCCGGCTGTGGGATTCGAACCCACAACCTTTGAATTGGTAAAGGAGAGCTGTACCTCTACGCCACCGGGCACCTAGGAAAATAATTATTTAATTATTAATAATAATTATATATTATAAAATAATTATTTAATTAATAAATTAATAATTTATTTAATTATTTATTTCCGAAACTCACTTCCAAAAAATGGTTTTTATCGCATCACTATGGAGTTGCATAAAATTTATTATGTTCTAATAAAAAAAAGAAAATATGGAATTTTGTATTAGCATCACAAATTATATTTGACAATAAGCTTCATAAAAAAACTTAAAAAAATTAATTATTTTTAAATTAATTAACGTTCATTTTTATTTTTGATTGATGCCCTCTAACGGACAAACTAAGCACTTTTGTATAAAAATAAACTATGTGCAATTAACTTATTTTTATCCAAAAAATACGTAGTTGTTCTATGTCCACGGAATATTGGAACTCCCTGTAAATTTTGTAGATCTGCTTTGGAAAACTAAATTTTCCAAAAAAAAATTTACCAAAACTATGCACTGTAGCGTTATTTACAAGAGACAAAAAATATGGTAAATACTTTTTAGGGACCATTTTACGAAAAGGAAAACTGTCGGTGGAGTTATTTGTACAAAAATTTATTGTGGAGATGAGGATACCCAAGCAGCATTTGGACGTCGGGACAACGTTGTGTCACGCGACCAAACGTCGGGGCGCAACGTCGGCACAACCTCGTGCCAACCCTAGTCTGCACTAGTTTGGAGAATAATTTTTGGGTCGAAACGACGTTGGATACCGACGTTGGCTAGAAGCCTAATTTAGTACAATCTGCAACGTTGTTTAAAATCCTAATTCACAGAAATACAAAACTAATATGGCGTCTAAGTCGCGTTTTATCCTAAATTGGGATAATTATAGACATATGTCAGATGGCAGTGAAGGAAAACAAAACAAAAGTATTTAAGTGTGGAGGATGTTTGAAGATCATAATTATTGAAACACTTTAACCGACTCTGTAACTCGTTACCCAAGGCAAAAAGTTAAACGCAAACAACTTTATTGATAAATGTATTGTTTTTACTTTGAAAAATACTAATGGGCCTTAAAATTAAAAGAAGTTTTAAAAATTTTCTTGAATTTTTTTTAGTAAAATGAGAATAATTCATTCGCAGTCGAAAAAATTGTTTCCGCGTGTTTTTTAGGGTCAAATATTTCAAGTTAATGTATTCAAAAAGCAGGAATTGCTATTTTAGAAACGAAACATTTTCTTATTTAACAACATGGCGGCTTGCACTTTGTTGTTTTGGAGATTAAGATGGAGTAGTTCGAGTAGTCGCATACTGGTCTAATAAAGTCGCAGTTCGGCCTTAACAGGTAGTATACTAGTCGCAAGATTGCCTAATTTAGTCATCCTAGAGTCTCGCTTGTGCCGCCCTCTATAATCTAAATAAACGAGGGAGTGGATAAACTATCGGTAATATATGTCGATGTATATTTAAATTAGTTTTATATGTACCTTTCTTATGTCCCATTTTAATTAATTTTTTTTTTATAAAATCAAAAACAGCACTGAACTGTCTGACTGAACACAACAATGAAGTGAAAATTTAAGATTTAAGGTTATGGTTCAATACAGTTGCAAAAAGGTAGTAACCCGACGTCCTACCAACGTAAGAATAAGGAAATCTAAACAACGTTGGAATTAGTAAAACAGACGACGTTTGCATAACGTTGGAATAGGTCCTGAAACTGACGTCGGAAAACTCTATATTGTCCAACGTTGTAGCTACGTTCTAAAGATCACTTAAGCAAAAAAGGTTAGAAGACAACGTTTATTCGACGTCGCAGAAGCTTCTACTTTGCTGTAGTACAAGTCCAACGTCGGCACAACGTTATAAAAACGTTTAAATTTATTTTAATACCTAAGGTAGGGAGCTAACTATTTTTTGTAACTAATCCAACGTTGTGTTTAGTAAACATGTGGTCGCAAGTCGTGAAAATGCTACTTGGGTAGTTCACCATTCCCGTACTTTTTCTGGATTTTTGTGAAAGCCAAATGTTAAAGCAATTAGCAAAACATAGACACCTAAAACCTCATTCAAATCGGAATAACGGTTCTTAAAATATCTGAAAAAATGTGTTTGTTTTTTAAAGTTTTATGCCCTCTAGCGGACAAACGAAGCACTTTTGTATAGAGGTAAATTGTGTCCAATGAACTTGTTTTGATTCCAAAAATACGTGGTAGTTCTATGTCCACGGAATATCGGGACACCCTGTATAAACAGTGTAAACTAGTAATATTTATCCAGTTTATATACCTGAAAATAAGGCTCTGCAGGATCTAGCCCCGTGATCCGCGCTAATCCAGGCACAAGAGATCCAGCGTATCCAGCCGTATGTGCTCCCAGAGAATGTCCAATTATATGGACATTTTTCGGATCCATCTCGTAGTTTTTCTGAAACAATTAAAAATAATTTTAGAGTACTCGAAGAACACTAATTAATTGTAAGCAATAAAATTAGGCTGTACTTAAACTGCCGTTAAACGGTAGCTTACTAAAATGCCGTTAATAGGTATGACGTCGTTGATGAGACGCACTTGACGGTTTTATGAAATATAGGAATTTTATAAGGACTAACCAACGCTATCCACCCCACCAAATAATCAACTTAGCCAACGCAACTAACCTTGACACTTGTAAAAATATATAAAAAACAAATATGAATTAGTAAAAACCAACCAACCCCACCAAATAACCAAATAACCAATGAATTAACACCCTCCAAATAACCACGCTAACCAACCCGTCAAATAACTAAACCAATCCACCCAAAAAGAGTGAAACCAATGCAATAAGATTACGCTATAAGCAAAAAAAAATAAAAAAGCCCTGATCTGGGGTGAGATTTGAACGACGGACCTTTCGCTCACGAAGCCATAGCCTCAGTCAAGGAGCCACAGGTGCTCTTGCAAAATGCCTATCGCTAGGCATTACTTTCCGCCGACATCAACGACCTCATAATATCTATTAACGGCATTTTAGTAGGCTACCGTTTAACGGCTGTTTAGGTACATCGATAAAATTATATAAATTGTACTGTACCGGGTGTTTTTCAAAAACGGCTCACTCGTACAACTGTTTTATTTTTTCAGAAAAAAAGGTTTAATATGTTAGTATATGGGACATAGATTGATTGACGTAGTCAATTAGTTTCGGTGTATCTGTACACGTTTCAGTCACTTACTTTAACGTAAATAAAACAACAAATTATTGAGTCTACCCTACATTATATTTTTACACGGTTTGAATAAAATTTCTTCTCTGAGATAAACCGTAATATAAGTCGGCCATTTCAGGTCCCCATCGCGCTTTACCTAATTTTTGGATAGGTTCCTTGCTTAATCTTTATCCAAAGTATTCATTATAATATATTTGTATGCATTTGGAGCATCTGCCATTAAATAATGTATATAAATAATCACCGTTATTATACCGTATAATCGAAAAAACGGCATCCAGTTGGCTTGGAAATGACGATCGATGACAGTGCTCATATAATTTTACATATAAAATGACAGTAACCTTCATTTCATAGCTTCATTTATTATTTTTATCGTTTTTGGACTATAAGACGCTTTTTTTCTAAGCTTTTATTTAAAAAAACATCTCCTACATCTTAATAATATAAAAAAGTTTAAATACGATATATTTTTAATAGAATTATAGCTTTATTAAAATAAAAAAAATTACCCGCTTATGATACGGAGAGTTCAGGCTTTGGTTCAGGTGTACTGAGGAATGAAAGACAGTGTTGCATTTCGCGGTAGAGTCGTCAGGGAACGAACGTTACGACGGAGACAACCTATCTATCGCTCGTGTCGCACTCATTAGAACCTAAAACAATAACAAGACATTGTCTGACCGCATGTTCCAGCTATTTATGAATGAGATGCTCAGTCTATATTTTATTTTAAGTCTATGTTGGTTTATGTTGTGCGTCATGTCAAAGTGGACGTCAGGCGTCATATCAACGGAGTTTATGAACGGTCTCGTGTATTTCAATAGTTTTAAGTTGAGTGGGGAAAATAGAACAGCACGACGGTAACGGAACGTCAAGTTTATACCATCCTTAAACAACGAACGAGTGGAAGTGGCAGCGTTTCTTCTAGCTTCAATTCGACTTTAGTATGTATCAGGAGCTCATAACTTGGAGAAGAAAATATTGTTGGCGTTGCTTAATTTTGAAACATCTTTATTTGAAAATGTTATACCACAAACTATAACTAACCAAATATATTGAGAATTGAGATAAATTAAGAAAAAAATATATAAATTAACCTGTGACTGTGTGTTAAAAAAACCTTGTATCCTATATCCTATATCCTAACGTCTTGAATTCCCAGCGTTAGGTAATTCAAGATGAAATTCTATATTGTTGTTATATAAAGACAGGGGTAACTTTGGTAACAGGGGTAACTTTGGTACGATTTTTAGGGGTTTTCGTTAATACAGTCCTTGCTATATGAAATAAAATACAAATAATTTAAACCTTCGGAGGTCATTTTAACTTCTTTATTATTAAGCGGGGTTTCCACATGCAAGGATTACTGGCGCCAGTGTTCGCCAGTTTATTGGCGCTATTACCCGTTTCTGTCTGGACACGGGTGCTTCTGAAAATACCTCTATAAGATGCGGCGGGCAAGCTCTGAATCATGTTTATTTTGTGGTGAAATAGACGACGTTGAACATGTATTCTATTATCCCACAGATGGAAGGATGAGAGAGATCATTTTAAGAAGGAGAGTGGACTGGATTGCACTGAAACGAACTTGATGAGAAGCCTTGAGGGAGGTGAATTATTATGGGAAACAGTAAACAAATGTATAAATAATATACTAAGTAAAAAAGTCCGTCGGATAACTTTGGGACAGATAAATTTTACAGGAAAATAGCCGTAAAGAGTAAAGAAACATTTTGTACCAAAGAAGGACGCACAGCTATACAGGGTGGCGCACCTCATTCGTCCACAATTTAAAATTATTTTGAAATATACAGGGTGTTTCAGAACTAAGATCCATACCAAAGTTCTAAATTGTATCTATTGTATAAGACATCTAAATTGTATCTATTCATATAATACTACATTTGTTATTTCCATCAATCAGCCATTAAACAATTCTTTTTGTATTTGCCCGATGCCCGGTAAATTCTATTATACCATAGTTTCAACACATTCTTTAAATCTTTTTATTATTTAAATTATTTTTTGAAATAAATAATTTGAAAAGATTGTGGGGTTTGGGTCCGCTTCCCCTCGCTTAGAGGTTTTGCATTTATGATGAACTCACACTGGGTTAGTAGAGAACGTTTAGTCAGAAATATGAAGGTCCGAGTTTTTTTAATTTTTACATACAAAACTTTTCCGATGTACTCATGTACCACCCTGTATGTACAGGGTTGTTCACCACATACGACACGGAGTTTTACAAATTGTAAGTTTTGGGTTCGATGAAGGACTATTAGTGGTACAATTTAAAAATAATTTTACAAGATACAGAGTGTCCCAAATAAGTAAAAAATATCAAAGTTGTATTTTTTTAAATGGAACACCCTGTATATTATTACATTTTTAGTTTCTACGATTAAAATAACGGTAAATTTGATTAAGATTTATTATACTTAAACCTTACCGTTTTTGAAATATTTTCAATTTTGTGAAATTGCAGTAAAAATTTTAAGGCTTCATTTCTCCAAGGGTATCAAAGTTTTTAATACTAAATATTTACTGAAGTTTATTTACTGATCAGTTTGTTGCAATAATAAAAATAATACTACCTTATACAGAGTGTCTAAAAATTTATTTTAAATAATTATTAGCTTCAAACGGCAATAACTTGTTTAATTTAAATGGAACACCCTGTATATTTTACGAGAATCAGATACACAATTTAATTGTCTATCAAATTATATTATACCATTTTTTACCTATTTCTTTAAGTTTCCGTAGAAAATGCATTTTCTTGTAATTTAGAACTTATTTATCAATATACCCATGGACTATTGACATTTTAGATTATTTTTAAAGATGTACCAAATTTTTAAAGAGTACAGATAGTAATATTGTCGATATAATTCGTTTATTTCATTAAAAAATAAAAAAACTGTTTAAATATTTGTTAAAGAGGACCAATTAATATGATTCCAGTATTCAAACTACATTAACTGACTGTTTGCGTTGATTAATAATAATTGCTCCAAATACTAAAAAACTGAATTTTGTATGGGCATTAGACAGTGTGATAAAAAGTAACACCTTAAAAATGATATTTCATTTTTTAATAAATGCTTATAACAACAGAGACTTTAATTTGATAACTTATTATTATATTGATTTCTGACTCAAATCCACATTTATTTATAATAATTTATTAACAAACACAATTTAGTATGTAATTAATTAGTATATGGGCGGAAATAATGGTGTTATATTTAATTAATGGTATACTCTTTTATAAAGATTTAAATAGTTTTCTTTTTGCATACAAATGGGCTAGTAATGTTATCGTTTTGCTAAAAACGATAATATTACTAGTCTGTACATTTTGTACATTTGTTGCTTTAAAAACAATCTAAAATGTCAATATTCCATGGATATATTGATAAATGAGGTCTAAATTATAAGAAAATGCATTATCTACGAAAACTTGAAGGGATAGGTAAAAAATGGTATAATACAATTTGATAGACAATTTCATTGTGCATCTGATTCTCCTGAAATATACAGGGCATTCCCTTTAAATTAAAGAAGTTATTGCCGTTTGAAGCTAATAATTATTTAAAATAAATTTTTAGACACTCTGTATAAGGTAGTATTATTTTTATTATTGCAACACAATAACCGATCAATAAATAAACTTCATTAAATATTTAGTATTAAAACATTGATACCCTTTGGAGAAATGAAGCTTTAAAATTTTTACTGCAATTTCACAAAATTGGAAATATTTCAAAACGGTAAGGTTTAAGTGTAATAAACCTTAATCAAATTTACCTTTATTTTAATCGTAGAAACTAAAATGTAATAATATAGGGTGTTCCATTTAAAAATACAACTTTGATATTTTTTATTTATTTGGGACACTCTGTATCTTGTAAAAATATTTTTAAATTGTAGCTCTAATAGTCCTTCAACGAACCCCAAACTTACAATTTGTAAAAATCTCATCGTTTAGCTACAATACTCCGTGTCGTATGTGGTGAACAACCCTGTATATAGTATATTTTGTCTGTTCCTTTCCTTTTGTCTTATCCCAGAAAACTTAGTTATTTATCTGTGGTTTTACCTGTACGGACCGTCACAGATGAACTCGAAATAGGAGCGAATGAAAACGACTGACGGACGCATCGATTCAATATACATATGATCCGATCCGAAGAGCCCAAACGTTCTAGTA